TAACAAACGAAAGAGAAATAATTGAGGCTTAAACCATCTCCAACCCTAGTATTAGATTTGTCATCAAATTTAAATTTGATGAAACACGCTACTTTTTGGGCTCCAATCGTGGCATCAAACCCGTATCAAATGAGAGGAAAACTAAAAATTTCATTAAATTAAGGGAGCGTTTAACCTTTTATCAAATCTCAATAGTGATCGTTGGTGGATGATCGGATGGATGACTGGCCGATCAACTGAGTGGACAACTGACCGAACTTGACCAGTTGGGCAATCGGGTGGACGACCGAATTGAAAAATTTTTGAAGAAAATTTACATTAGGCCAAACTACCACTGCCCCGATTGACTGGTTGTTTGATGAAAATTAAAAATTTAACATTAAAATATTTGTTATCAAATAAAACTTTTAATCAAATCTTTACTCAAATTTAGCGTTAGAGATACTCTAATAGCAACTTTTCACTCACTTCCCCCCTATTATTCTTAAACTTTTCCCAATCATTATCATCCTGTCCTTAACCCACCCTAGCCCTTCCCTATCCACTCCCAGTCTCATTCACTGCATTCTCGGTCTTCATCTACTATCTCCAACCTCCTCCATCCCATCTCAATCTCCTTTCGCTGCTCTCAACCTTATTTTTCCTCAACCTCGTCTATCCACTATTGGTCCCTTTCATCATCATCAACAACACAACAAAATAAAAATAAAAAAAAATAAAAGAGAGAAGAAATGAAGATCAAAGTAGGCTTTCACACTTTGCAAATGTAATTCACGACTGATTTGGAGTGGGTTTTTGCATAGATTGAAAAAGGAAGGGATTGGTTTGGAGTGGGTTTTTGCAAAGATTGAGAAAGGGTAAGGTTTTGCAAATAGGGGAGGGAGGAGAAGGGGAGGAAGGAGAAAGGGAGAGAAGTGAATAGAGGAGACAATGCAAATATGGGAACAAAAAATTATTATCTCTATGATTTTTCAATTAATTTTGCTTCCATGTCTAGTGTAATTTAAAAAGATTCTCAATCATTTTTGTTATATTTTGTCCCATTTACCATTTTGCATTGTGCTTTTTTAAGGAGTTATTGTCAAAAAAACAAACTTGTTATATGAATCCAATTTTCATTTCATCCGAGAGATGCCTTTGTCATTTTATCAAAATGAAACATTTATCCTAATTCCGTAGAACTTAAAAATGATATTGAGCTTGCAAAGCTTGATTTTATATATATACATATACACACTCTACCTGACTGATCGTCAGACCATTTGTGTATCACATATATGTATGTAGATCTTTCAACATTGCTTGAAAAATCTTCAACTCACAAAAACAAATTATGCAGAGTTTGGCCTACAGTTGTTGGCTTCCAACATTGGCAGTGCAGAAGAAAATCACAAGAGCTACAACGGTCCGACATGACCCCATAAACTGTCTTCTACATCGGTCTGACACGACCACACAGTGTCCTGCTACATCGGTCCGACATGACCTCATAAACTGTCTGCTACAACGGTCCGACATGACCCCATAAACTGTCCCGACATTGATTCCGGTCAGCTGCTACATCGGTCCGACATGACCCAATAAACTGTCCTGCTACACCGGTCCGACATGACCTCGTAAACTGTCTTCTACAACGGTCTGACATGACCCCGTAAGCTGTCCTGCTACAACGGTCCGACATGACCCCGTAAACTGTCTTCTACATCGGTCCGACATGACCCCGTAAACTGTCTTCTACACCGGTCTGACACGACCACACTGTGTCTCCTACAACGGTCTGACACGACCATACCGTGTCTCCTATCCTGTTTTATTTATCAGTTTATTTTTCTGTTTTGTGACTCTCTCCAAACTCAAGTTGGCTAGTGCCTATCCTCCTTGAGTTTGAGGGGGGCTGTTAATGTAAATTGTATTAACCTACCACTACCACCTACCACACACACTCACCTCCTCACCTACTCCTCACCTAACCTACCACTACCACCTCCACTTCACTCCACCTACCACCTACACCTACTACCACATTTTCTTCTATATATAGGAATTGTAAATACATCAATCAATACACAACAATCAATAATACTACAATTTATCAATTATAGAGATCATAAATGGAGATGAGAACACAGTAATATTATACACACATGTAGTACATGTATATTGTATGAGAGAGAGAGAAAGAAAGAGAGAATACCTGATTAGAGAGAGAGGGTTTCTGTAATGATCAGATCGGTTAGAACTGGAATTATGGACTAAGAGAAGGAGATCCGTGATGGAGATATGCGAGGAAATGAAAAATATTGTGTTAGTTTAATGGGGGAATTACTGCATGGTAGGATAAAAAAAAAATTACAAAGACATATGAGGTATAAATAATTTTGTGATGAAACGCAAGTGAAAAGCGATAAAGGTGCAAGTAATAAGCACCTCTCCATGTTGTGTAAAAAAAAAAAAATTTCTACCCACTGAGATGTAATTCCCCTTGTTGAATCGGTTCACTCATCGTCAAACCGATTGCCAAGGACGAGGACTGCGATGCGAGTGTGTGGAAATTGTCTCGGCTATCACGTCCTCACTATGTGACACTTTTGCGACACTTTTCCTGTTTTCGTCAGCATATCCCATTTCCATGAGAGAAAATCATTTTTGTTTAGGTAATTACACTAACCTCCATTAAAATTTAAAAAAATACAATAAATCTTACAAATTTGACATAATTATATTAAGTTCTCTTAAAATTTTAATTCATATAACACTTGATATTCTTTTCATTTGAAATTTGTTAGTAGCCTTAGAAAGCCAAACAAAATGCAATATCATCAGTTGTATAAATAAAAAATAATATTATCATCTTTTTTATATTGAAATGTATATTTTACCTTGTGTATCTTTGTGTCTTCATATTATCTACATTAATTTTAGTCTATTCAATCTTACTAAAAGAAAGATTAATAAAATTATGTTAAAATTATAAAACTTGCTGTATTTTTTTCAAACTTTAAAAGAGGTTAATATAATTTATCCATTTTTATAATTGAAAGCTTATTAACGAGAACCCTATTAACAATTTTTATGAAAAAGTGTACGGTAAAAAATATTAAACATTTAAAATTTTAATTATCTAATTCCCTTCATGTTAAAATTTATTTTAATTAATTAATTATTATTAATTATTTCAAGGTGATTGTTTTAGAATTTTGAAATAATAAAAATACATGTCTTTTACATGAACAACATAACACTTCTCTCAATTAAAAAAAGAAAAAGAAGCCAAATTTGGGAAGGGAATAAAATAGTTCAAAAGTCTAATTATAAATTGTCATATCACTCTATTTATTATTTTATATATTTTTTTTTTTATAAAAAGTTAAAAAATTAATTAAAATAATTAATTTTCAAACAAGTCTAAAGTATTAGATTATGAAAAAATTATTAATTGGTCCTGAGATATTACGTGATCATGTCTTAAGCTAATCACAAATATTCATGTCTCTTTATATTTCTCAAACACTCAATATAAAATTATAAACTCTACCCCTCTGCCAATCAGAAGATACCTGGGCACCATGTCATTGTGCCCGAGAACAACAAATAACTTCTCCAAATTATGGGCACGTTTGATTTAGAGCTTTGATGGAGACTCCCTCCAATCACCACTCCCACCACCCTCACACACACGTGGTGGGTGGTGATTGGAGAAAAAAAAAAAAAAAAAAAAAAAAAAAAACCTGACCAATGAGAGAAAGAGAGGTCAAGGGGTGGGGAGGGAAAAGGGGCCTGGGTCTTTTTCCTTTGATTTAACAAGTGAATCTTTCAAGAAAAATGATTAAGACCTCTTTTCCCCCACCCCCTTTGACTCCCTCTCTTTTCTGATTGGCCAATTTTTTTTTTTTTTTCTTTTCCTCCAATCACCACCCGCCAGAGAGGGGGATGGTGGGGGTTGGTGATTGAGGGAGTCTCAAATCACAACCGATAGTGGGATTAGATTTGAAGGTGATGCTGGTGTGGGAACAGTTTTGTTCGTAGTGGAGAGATGGAACCTACAATGCTTTGGTGGAGCTACAATGCGTTGGCTCCTCTTTTCTTTTGGGATGTGTTTAATTGAAAGGTGTGAGAAAAGATTTAATAAAAAATTTAAAATAAAATAAAATATACTTACATTTTACTTAATTTTACATATATATATATTTTTTCCTTTATATATCTCCTTCCAAAACTCTTAACCAAACACAATATTAAGTTGCTAGTTGAAGAGACTTGTGGGGATTCAAAATTAACAAAAAAATATAATACTATATGTACCAATTAATATATTAGTTAGTATACTAATTAATTATGTGGCATAATTTAAAAAATTTTTAAAATTTGTAATGTAATTAATGAGTGAGCCTAATAATAATGTCATAACTAGTGTTGATATATTAATTAGTACACTAATTAATACATGTAACATAACCGTAACAAAAAATGAGTTTAAAAAGGAGCAAAAAAAGTCCTCATAATCATAATTACTTCTTTACATAATCCAATTATAATGCGAAAAATATTCAACACAGGCTCACGATTGTATTGCAAAAAATATTCTCTTCGCTAAGGCCTCGTTTGCCAAGCAACAATTTTAGCTTAAAAGTTAAAAAATTATTAAAAAACTTATAACCTAATACCAAAAAATTAAAAATTTTCTTTTCTCTTTACTTTTTGTACATCTTTTCGTAAAAAATCAAAAAATTATTCCAAACATCAATTTTTTTTACCTCGTATTTTAACCAAAAAATCAAAAAGTTGCAAAAATAATCGATTCTCAAACGAGACCTAATTAAATAAATAATGAAAGCAAATTTTAACAGAGTCTAAATTCATTAAATCATCATTAATCAACTTAACCCAACCAAATATATACCACAGCCTGCAATAAATTCAACAGTAGCATAGTTATGTATACTACTAATTAATTTGAAATTTACTGTAAGAGCAAAACGCTTTAGACAAATGAAAACAACTTGCAGTCAAATGGCATGTTTGGCATCAAATGGCTCATATAATTCTGAAAAATATTCAATGGGCAAAAGCCACTTGGCTTACATCTGTGAACGAGAACATATTTCGGAGATGAAAAAACAAGAGAAAAAAATCTAATGGTGGCCGCAATAGCCCCAAGCATGGGAACTGACAGTTTTTGGTTTATTATCACTGCAAAAATCCCAGTTTTACTCAAAACTAGCAATTAGCTTGTACATGGTATATAGATTCAAAATTTTAAGCAGCTTACTTGGCTGCTCTAACTTGCTGTCTGTCTGTCTCTGTGAATGCAATCTTTATAGTTTTTGACTGCATCGGCACATTTCAGGGGGTTCTTGTCGTTTTCCTTGTAGCACTCAAAACAAGCATTTTTCTCCATCAAACAGGGCAGTGGCTTCTGGGTTGGAAGCTTGAACTCCTTGTCATGGAGATCCTTAGCTCTCTGAGTTACTTCCTGCACCATCACCTCCCCCTGCTTCTGCAACTTCTCCAAAACTTTCTCGCTTTCTTGAACGGCAGAACGGATGGCATCTAACTCTGCACTGGAAGAATGTGGAGGCGGGGATAAGGGCATGAATATTGGAGGCTGAACAGGCCAACCGACCGGAGCAGTCCGTTTGGGTATTTCGGAATCACCAGAAATCTGCTTCTGATGTGCCTTAGTTTGGGATTGTTGGGGTTCCCGTGGTATCTTAGTTTTGGATCTTTTTGTTTTTTTCTTCGACTTCTCACCGTCATCTGCAAGCTGTTTGACTAAGTTGCTGCTAATCTGAATCGTAAAAGATTCACCCATTATATAGAAGGTTTCAGACAACTTACCTGAAAAATATTCACTGAAGTGATCAAATAACCAAAATCAGCAACAAAGTCGAGGCTGAGTCATTATTACAACTTTGAACATCAAAGAATGAGACAGGAGGAAGGGCAAATATGAGGGCTCTTGATAAGATGAGACGAACATAGCATACAAATGTTGGAAAAAATTAATCGATGGATTTGAATAACAGTAATATCTTTGATGAGATCAAGAGGCTGTCAGAGAGCCCAAAACCTTAGGATACAACAGAATGCTATAGCCAACCAAATCAACCTGAGCAGAATCTTCTGTACAATTTGGATGTACTAGTGGCTAGCCTCAATTCCTGACACAATTCCACTCCTTGCAAAGAGAGACAACAACCTAAAGATGGTTGTGTTTAGGGATACTACTGACCATTGAATGCCAACTACCAACTAGAAGCTGTAGAAGGTCAAGAATGCATAATAAGCGTGGCACGATGGGCATGGAGGTTGAGATTCCATTCAATGAGAGAAACAGAATTCCAAACTCTAGAATTTGATTAAAGTTAAATCAATTAGAAGCTAGTACGAGTGATTAATAAGGTGGTCTAGGTTAGTGTTTTTAAAGGCTCAAGATGCACGAAGGCGCTGAAGGTCTCTTGGGGCCTACGTGCAAGGCGCAAGGCGAGGCGCGGACTTTATTAAAGCAAGACCCATAGTCTTACTAAAAAATAGATAAATTAACATAAACTAATCATTCATAGTACTAAGACTATTTTTTTACAATAAAAAGTAATCAAGACAAATTATAGAATAAAAAGTAATCAGTAAAATGTAATGTGTGATGTGATGAATTAATTATTTGTATTTTTTTTTTAACAGAGACTCAACTCAAAACAAAGGCATAATTGAAAGGAAAAAAAAAAAAAACAAGACAAGCATAAGAAGAGACTCTGTTCTACTCTTTCACCAAAAATTTGGCAAATTGAAGTTATACATTAACCATCACAAAAAAAATAAAATAAAAATTTAAAACAAAATGTTAATCTAAGTTCGGTAACAAGTATACACAAACGAAACAGCAACAGAAACAATTATAAAATAGAGAGACAACATCCACAATAAATACACAAGTTAGCTTAATTAAAAAAGGACATACTCACATATTTCATAATTAAAAATAAAAAATAAAAATAAAAGAAGAAGAAGAAGGAGAGAGAGAGAGAGAGAGAGTCGAAATCGAAGCAAGAAAAAAAAAAAGCGAGAGCAAAGAAGAAGAAGAAGAGAGAGCAAGGAAGAAGCAGAAGAAGAAGAAGAAGAAGAAGAAGAAGAAGAAAAGAGAGAGAGAGAGAGAGAGAGAGAGAGAGAGAGAATTGAAGTTGAAGAAGCAAAAAAAACAAAAAAACCGAGCAAGTCGACACAGCGAAGAATGGAAAGGAGGAGGAGGAGAAGAAGAAGAGAAAGAGATGACACAGCGAAGAAGAAACAACCGGCGAAGAAGAAAAAAGGAAAAAAAAAAAAAAAAAAGCAACCAGTTGAAGTCAAAGAAGAAGAAGAAGCAATGACTAAGGATTAGGGATTCGAAGTCGAGAGAGGAAGAGACGACACAGATTTCTTCGTCGATAGATTAGGGATTTGAGTCGTATACTGATTTGGGTTGGGATGTGTTGTATTGTATGAGTTGCAATCCTGTGTGGTTGGAGCCTCTCCTACACAGATCACAGTCGTTAGGTCAGAATGAAGAAGAAACAAAAAAAAACCCTTAGGCTCGCGCCTTGAGCCTCGCTGCACCTGGTCCAAGTCCATATCCAAGGCACGTGACTCATCAAATGCGCCTCGCCTTGGTCCCCTTTAGGCACACCCCCTGGGCCTTGCTGTGCCTTGTGCCTAGGCACGCTTTTAACAACACTGGTCTAGGTGTTCGCAATTTTCCTTGCCCTTCCAATGCTCCACCCTGTCCCTTATTCTAAGAAAAAAATCCTAGCTATCAGGGTACAATTGAAAGGATATAATGCCTCAAATCCTTCCACTACATAAGAAGTCTGTCTCACTCACAATTCCATTCTCATAATCAGCGAACACATCTTCCTGATATTCAAAATCAAATAACCTCCCCCAACCACTGAACCTTCCTACACTTCCCTACCCAAAAAATGGTCCAAATTCAGATTGGGATCCGCAGTGTCATCCACAATTGCATCCTGAATATCACTACATCAGGATATTTCCGCAAAATTTTGAAAATTGGCATTTATACAAAGAAGAGGCCTACACTTTGTCAAATAACTAGGCTAAAAGTAGTTTGACATTAGCTGGCCTAGAAGAAATGAATGCCACTCAAGCAACAGGACTCCAAAAATGACCAAACCATGCTTCACAGGTACTCAAAGTGGTTTTAGGATGCAAGTGGGGATCATTCATCCTTGAAAGAATGTTCTCAAGACAAGTAGACAACTGGATAAGTGAAAGCTTGATAGCAGTGTAGTTAAAGGAAAAAGAAAACCTAAATGATCTAAAGTTATAAATTATATCCAGTTTCAACGCACTGAATTAAACACACATACACATGTACATGTAACCACAAAAAGCTCGAATAACCTAATTTAAATTTGTCCATAAAATTACGACCATCCATGACAATACAGCAAGGATATGCATATTCATAAATACTGACTCTAGAATAAAAGAAAATTTTATTCTATGTATATAAAAATATGCATGCGCATGCTCGTGCACATAAGATTGAATCTAAAACATTAATAGGAAATAGGAACAACAAATCAAGTTGAAACAATAGCATTTATTAAGACATGTTTTTATTTGGATAATTTTGGAATTGAAACATTATTAGGAAATAGGAACAGCAAATCAAGTTGAAACAATAGAATTTATCAAAACATGTTTTTATTTGGATAATTTTGAGTTAACACCAACAAAGGTGTTCACTTTATAATATGGTATTACATAGCATAGATAAAAATATAAATAAAATAGTACCTATATTTCACATATCTTTTCTCTTTTCTTTTCCAAATCATTCCCCAAATTCTTCAATCAAACCCAATGTTAATTTGATGAAAAAATTAGAGATAATTTTTGAGATAGAATTAGAGATGCAATTGGGTACACAACTTAATCGTACATTTAGACCTATTAATTATAATATTATATCACCACCAAAAATAGTTAAAAATTACAAAATGAAATAAGATTTAGGCGGTGTTTGGCAAGATTTGGGTTTGGGTTTTTTTTTATTTTTTTCACTAAAAGACAAAGTTTTTGCAAAAAAAAAAAAAAAAAAATCCAAACAAAATATCACATCCAACCCCATAATCATTTTACTTTTTCTCTTACAAATATCACATCCAACCACAAAAAAACCCAACTATCTTTCCAAACACTAAAATTTTTTTATCAAATAATATCCTACAACTAAAAAAACCTACATAAAAACCCACTTCCCAAATACCCACTTAGTGTGTTTGGTTTAATTTTTTGGATTCAGTTTTTTGAAAATTGATTTTTTTTTTTTTTTTTTGTGAATATTTTTAAAATTTTAAGTAACTTTTTTTTAATTTTTTAGATGTACCTTACTTAGATGTATTTAAAAAGTAAAATATTTGTAAAAAAATATTTAAACAAATCAATAAATATACAAGAATACAAAAAATGTACTGAATTTTCTTCTTTTTTTTGTATTTTTGGTATTTGGTGAATTTTTTACAGATTTTTTTCACAAATATTATACTTTTTAAATGTATTTATGTTAGGTGTATCTAAAAAAATTGCTTAGAATATTAAAAAAATTCAGTAAAAACAAAAAAATATAAAAAATAAAAAAAATTCATTTTCTAAAAATTGAATCCTAAAAATCCAAACCAAACAAGCTGATTATAGTTGGAGGGAGTCGATCAATGTCATAAACGGGTTTGGTGTTTGGACCGTAAACGGGTTCGGGTTCTGGTTTTGAACTCCCATTAAACCGTTCCAGATAAAATTAGATACGTTTGAACCGGAGACTAGTTCAATACATCACGGTCTAATCTTGGACCGGACTACCTATTACCTCGCATACAAGAAAGAAACGCAAAAGCGAGGGTCCGACAAACACTTCAATTGTTTGACTGATTACGACCCAAAAAGTTCCAATTTGGGAATTTCACACTTCAATTTCTCAACGATCATCACTCTTCACCAAGTCCATCCTCTCTCTCTCTCTCCCATATGCAATGTATTTGCACGTATCGAGAATGTCCATGTTGTACCAAATTTATTAATTCTCTATCACATTTGAGAGATCATAGTTTTACATTTTGATAAATTTTCTTGAATTGCTCACATTTCTATGTTTAGTTTTTTACGCATTTCTAGGTTTAGTTTTTTTATAGAATTTGTTGATAAAATTTAAGAGATCTAAGGATAGTTTATTGCTTCCTAGCTTTGTGGGGGGAGAAAGTAACAATTGCATAGGTAAAGTCCTTTTGAAATTATCATAGAGAAATTATGGTTATGTTTTATTATTATTATTTTTATGTGTTTATGATATAATAGGATGTCCTGATAACCTCGGACCCTTAACCCAGCTTCATATTTTCAAACTTTAGCTGAAATAATACATAATCTTGAGAAACTAACAGTAAGATAACGTTTTGCACTTTCATATGAAAATGTTTAACTAGTAACAAAAATAGGTAAAGCTAGATAAAATTAAAAGTTTTCTGGTGTTAATAATATGATATGGAGTTAAATTACGGCCTTCATGAGCATCATAGTTGATAGTAACTGTTACTGGGAAATTTGATCTTCATTCATTTATAGCAGTTTCTTTGAGGATCAGGCTGAATATGAGGTTGGGAAACATAGATAAGTTCCCGTGTCTTTTCAGCTCCTTATATGTGTAATTTGTCATAGAACCTCCTATTAGATAGTTGATCCATGAAATTGGGCTCTATGCAAGGTTGTTTTGTATGTGTATTTAAATTTTTTTTTACTTCATTGTGTATCTAGTAAATTAATAAAAGTTGATAAGTAGTCAAATTCGTTATCCCATTTATTTAAGGCTAAGACTAAGGTTTCATAGGTCAAATAATTTAGGGGTTTGGTATACTAGCAGCTTTTGTGAAGAAAAAAAGATATATTGGCTATGATGCCAGCATAATATTTGTCCTCTCTCTCTCTCTCTCTCTCTCTCTCTCTCTCTGTGTATGTGTTATTGTGAAGATGCAATTGTTATACAATGCATCCCCTTCAGTAGATTAAGGGCACGTTTGATTCACAAACAGGATAGTCGAATAAAGTTACCTTGGGATTAACTTATTTCGAGCAGGGGATTTTTGGAATTTGGCCACAAAAGTGTTTTCCTGGATTAGTTGTCCACCCTTCTTCATGGGATAAATAATCATATGTGGGAGAAAAGTAATCCATAGGATTAGTTATCCCAGATTACAAAGTTCAAACCAAATGCAGTATTATTTTAACCTGGGATTATTTGACCCAATCCTGCCCTTTATCACAAATCAAATGTGGCCTAAGGGTATCAAATAACATCTTAACTAGGTGACTTTTCCTTTGGGCAAGAAGAGGGTGACTTACCATTTCATTAATATAATTGGTTGTGTAAATAATTTTTAAGAAGCATTCATTTGCCAGCCAAAGTAATTGATATTAAAGCTTGCTAAGTTGATTTTGAGACATGAGTGAAGTTGTAAGTTTTAGCGGGACTTGTATTGTATCAGTAAGTGTGACAAAAATATACGAGGTAAGAGAAGAATTGTGGATAGCCTAGGCAGGAAATAACGTAATAACTGTATTTTTAATAGGAATGCTTTAAAAAGTTAAAACATGAGCATTTCAAAATAAAATTTTAAAAAAAAATAAAAATTGCAGAGAGGTTTCTTTATAACTCCCCACACTGCACCCTTTTCAAAATAAATAGTAAAAGAAATATAGAAGAGGATTCAGTAATTTGTTATGTTTGTTTGTTTAACTTCCCCCCAACAAATACAAAAAGTGTTTTCTATAAAACGACCCTAAATGCTTATAAGAAACTTTCATTCTATATGAGTTGTTGTGAATGTGAGCCTGCATAACATCGTATAGGTGGAAGTGTTTTTGCTTTGGGTTTGGGATTTGGGAGGTTTCAATATTTTTTGTACAGTGTCAATGTCTCTTATTATTCGTTAAACCATTTCATACAAACCAAAAAGCTAATATTGCAACAGAAGGGGATTACAAAACAAGAAAGCTGACAAATGAGAGGGTTTTACTTTCTTTATCTAAATGAGGATCAAAATATATTCGCAGCATCACTACTAATCCAATCACAGCTCAAATATTTGAAACAGGGAAACTGAGTACTAACTATAGCTTTATGTTCTGCTTGATGTGTTGATTGGTTGTTCCTTTAAAACAGGTCTAATTTCAAAATGACTAAACCAATTAAACTACACAGCACCAAATAGCCAGAATGCACAACAGTTTGGTGTGGTTTATAATAAGAACAGTCAGTTTCAATTCTTTGCTAATTGTTAGGAATGAGAACAAGTTGGGGTCGGGGTCGGGGCGCACCAGTTTCTAAATTCCTAGGAAGCACGGGTGTGAGTACGAGTACGGTATAGGTACGAGTACGGTATAGGTACGCCGATACGGCAAAACTCAAAAAAAGTATGATACGGGAACGGCTGCGATAAGCCGATATTTTTTTTATTTTATAATTATGGTTAAAGGATCCAACCTACAAATTAAGATTAAATATCAAAACTAAAAAAGAACTACAAACTAAAAGACAAATATTAATATATTTCAATTCAACAATGCCAACAACAACAAAGGAATCTGGACATATATTGGATATATATATGACATATATCAGGAAAAAAAAAATCAGGACAGATCTTAGTTCAAGAAATCTGGACATATAAACCAAACCAAGCCTTAAGTCCCATCAAATCTGAACATATATCAGAAAAAAAAATTGGACAGATCTAATATATTGCATATATTGAATAAAATATATATTCCAGTAACAAGTACCATATTGCATATATATATGACATATATCAGGGGGGAAAAATAGGACAGATCTTAGTTCAAGAAATCTGGACAGATCTTAGTTCAAAAATCTAGACATATATAAGAAAAAAAAAAAAAGTTCAAGAAAAATGAAGAAGAAGAAGAAGAAGAAGAAGGAGGGTCAAAGAAAGGGAAAATCAAAGAGAAGAGAAGATTCGATCGTTTGCTGCGAAGAAACAGCACAAAATCTGGACAGAAAATATGAAAGAAAGAGGATGAAGAATCGAAGAAGAAGAGGGGGAAGAATCGAAGATGAACTTACCTCTTCAATCGCACCTTCGAAGGAGAGAATCAATCAGCAGCACCTTCGATTAAACCTTACAATCGCACCTTCGAAGTGTTCGTCAGACTCTCTTGGGAGTATTTCTGGAAGGAGATGATCGGATAGACATGGAACCCTAGCACCTTCAAAGTTCTTCAGTCTTGGTGTATTTCGGAAGGAGATACTGGAAGCTTGGAAGGAGATGAGATGATCGAATGATAGAATATAGAACCCTAATTTTATGTGGTTTCATGTTTTATTTATTACAAAAGAACCCTAGATTTTTATAATTTTTTAAAATAGACACAACAAATTGCTCCAGTACCCTTTAATTTATGAAAAAATTTGTTTTTTTACCTCAGAGTACCAAAAACGTACACATGACGTACTTGTGGCGTACCCATTACTATACTAACCATATAAAACATACCCAGTGCATTTTTGGCATACCCGGTACTCTTGCAACCGTACAGGTACGCGTACCCGCATTCAATAAGTACCCGGTACTTATACGGCAACATTTTTAGAATACTCGTGTTTCATAGCTAAATTATGTCCCCAATTTTCTATTGTACCCCATGACTGTGGCCCGATCCCAATTGGTACATTTTTGTAGTACCACTCATGGTACCTAATGGGGATTGGGTTTCCCCACCCTGCCAATCGGTACCCTGATTCTGATTCTGATTTTGATTTTTCTAAAACAGATTCAACATAAGTTAGACAAATTTCATATTGATAAGCAACTTCAATTGATTCAAAACTACAAAAATTAAAAATAAAAACCCATACCCAATTAGAAGTATGCACAATCCAAAAACAAACCATAACACATTCCCCTATAACAATAACAACAACTTCAAATCAACACACAACAAATATAACAATACCCACAACATCCACACAATAGATAACAAATAAGGAGTTTCTTATCTTAAAAAAACAATCAAATCACATGCTAATGAACAAATCAAATAAAAATGCAAATTTATAGAAGAAAAAAAAAATGGCTTGAGAAAAAAGAAAAAGAACCTGAGGTGAAGAAATCAACAACAGCTGTGAAGGAAGAGTTAAAGAGAAGATAGGTGCTTCGTCTCAGTGTGGATCACCGCTACTGTAAACCAACGATATGGAACGACCAAGTGTATGTAAAGCCCTAAATTCTGTTCTTCATTTCTTTATAGAGAGGATAAATTACAATTACACCTATTAGATTTAGCTTTAATACGTACCTCCCTGATGTTATTAAAATGATATTTTTCTCTTTTTTTTTTTTTTGGATACAACGGAAAAAAAAAAATTACATTTTTCTCACTAAAAGTTCTAATCTCATTATAATTTGCTTTTCTCTCATCTGTTAACTAGCCATTTGGTTAGCTAACGCCATTTGCTGATATCATAAATTAATTTATTTTATCGTTCACAATGATGATGCCAACAACTTATGCAAATTTTTTAAAATAAACAATTTTTACACTGTATTTATTTCTATATGATTTGTTGTCATTATTGCTTATTTATTTTTTTAAAAAATTTTATTTTGCTTGAATTTTTAGTAGAAGTAGTGTGGAGCTGGTTTTTTGTTTGTCCTACTTATGTTTGATGAAATGTTTTATAAAGCGTCAACTAAAATTGTCCATCGTGAATGGACAATGGTGAATTATGAAAGGATGGTGAAATGGAAAAGAAACTCTATACTTAATCGATCTCAAAAAAATGACATCAAAGGGCATTAAAGTCATTTTAATTTTTATGTTAAAAGGATAATCAAAAAACTCTAACGAGGAGTCATTGCAATTTTTAGAACGTCAAGTATCTATATTAAAGTCAAACCTCGGAAGGTGTGTGTCACGACCCAAACCCAGCCCTATGGGTTTAGTACCGTAACCGGCCAGTAATCTGAGATTACCGAAGGCCTGCAGAACAGTAATACAGTAACACAGAGTACAGGGCCTGGCGGAAGCCAATACAGTAAATAAATAATGTCCATTGAGCTGTGACAGTCTGTATGCCAAAAAGGTTTTTCATGCATTCATACATACAAATAGTACAGTCTATACAAAATTCACAGTCACACAGTACAGTTAGCAGCTGACAGTCTATACAGTAATACAAAACAGTAACAGGGACAAGCGGGGGGAAAAAGACACCCCAGGCCATAGCATGGCGAACTCGAAACCTCGCAGTGAGGCACGGTGGTTGGCTTGACAAAACTGGAATAACCCCGACGCCTCTAGCTTTGATCCGGTGCCTGTACACCTACATATATATATGAGCAGTGAGCTAAAGCCCAGTGAATAACATAAAGCGTAAAGGGGTTTAGAATGAATGTCCTTACAATAATGAAAACAGTTCATTTCAATCAGTCTTCCAGTTGCTCAGTACAGTAAACAGTCATATGTGGTACATCCATTAGCATAGCAGTAAACAGTAGGTCTTAAAGACCGAACAGTAATGATGGCCATCAGTCAGTAAACAGTAGTGGCTCCACGAGGGAACCGACAGAGATCTCTGTAACAGTAACGGTAAACAGTAGGTGCTAGGGATGCCACAATACAGTTCAGAAATAAAGGACATACATTCGTTCAGTAAATAATACCAGTTCCGTAAACAGTTCAGTTTAGTATTCAAAAGATAATCAGTTGAACATATCTTTACACAATTCACTCACAGAGTTTGGGCTACAGCATGCTAGAGCGTGCCTCCCCAGTCGCCAACCCTACACAGTTTACAGAATGAACACACACTAAGCTACACAGCTGGGAAAGATAATAACTTAACCCCTAATTTGCCTCGGTGTGTTCTACATCTATATCCTCAACAAGATGCCTTAAACTAGGCCTAAGCATGCCTAGGATGGGATGAGGATGCAAAGATGTGATCAGAAAACAGTTTCAGGAGTTTTCAGAAAAACAGAGTCCCGCTCGAGCACAGGTTTCCCCGCTCGAGTGGTCATGCAACAAAGGTACACGCTCGAGCGTCAAATATCCCACTCGAGCGTACTGTAAAAGTATTGGATGGGTGAAATCTCCGCTCGACGCCCGCTCGAGCTTGAGACACATGCATCCGCTTGAGCTCCCAGTCCTCCGCTCGAGCGGACTGTAAAACAGTGCAAGATGCTGGATGCTCGGATTCCACGCTCGAGCGTCACTTTACCCGCTTGAGCGGAAGTGCAAAATCTGGAAAACCCAGATTGCACCTCCAAGCTCAAACCAAGTTCAAAAGCATCAAAACTCGACCTCTTGGCCTGAATTTCCAGAAAACATTTGTAAACACATAGAATAACATGGTTCAAAGCTCAATTTTGAGAAATCAAAGCCCAAGGGTGTTTAATTTAAACCCAATTTCAAACCATTTTTCAAGAACAATCTTCAAACATGACATGCATGATCTTTAAATAACTTTCAAGCTTCAAAACATGCTCTAATGAGCCAATTGATTCACAAACATGATGAAAGCATGGCCTACACTCAAAACATGGACATGCATGTAACAATTTGCCATGAACTCAACTCAAATTCCAACAATACTAACATGCATGCAACAATCAAGCTACAATTCAACATCTAAACCATGTTTTGGCTCTAAACTCCATTAATATGACGTGAACCACGCAAGAATCAACTTTAAGACACAATTAAGAGGTTGAAACCCTTACCTAAGTCTTGAATGCAAGATGCACAAGCTCGACCATGCAAATCTCCTACAAATTCTTCAAGTTTCTAAGCAAATTGTGAAGAACTCAAGCTTTCTCTCCCTCTCTCCCTCTCCAGTCGGCAAGAGCAAGGAAATGACTGAACAAAATGTTGCCTAATTGTATAATGAGGCTCACACATATTGTATTGAGTGGGCCACTAAGGGTTAGTTTGGTAATTAAGTCCAAGACTAGCAATTGATCAATATTTAATCTAATTTAATCATACCTAATCAGTTTTCAGTTAATTATACCATAAAATCACATTAATTATGATGATCATAAAACATCAATCGATTCCGGATTCGGCCGCCGATAAGGCCTGCAATTAGCAGTTTAAACACTAAAACACGAACAGATCAAATAAATAATCAAACAGATAGAATACAAATTAACAGATAGACTCAGTCAATTCAGTTCCAATTTTCAGTCAGTTAGTTCAGTACTTTAATCAGTTCAATTATCAGTCATAATCGGTTTAGTGTAACGGTAATCAGTGTTTATCAGTAAGCAGTGGTGAGGGTTATTACAGTCTCCCCTCCTTATAAAGAGTTTAGTCCTCTAAACTCGAGTTACCTTCGTTCTGGAAGAAAACAGGATTCAGTGGAAATAGTTTAGGATATCTTTTAGCCATGTCATCTTCCCTTTCCCAAGTGGCATACACGCCACCATGGTTTTGCCAGTCGACTTTCACTAGCGGGATCTCTTTGTTTCTCAGTTTCTTGATCCGTCTATTAACAATCTGTATAGGACGTTCCTCGTAAGTGTAGTCATCACTCAGCACTATACGAGTAGGCTCTATTACATGGAAGGGATCCCCAGTGTGACAATGACTTGATACGCCACCGGATTAATTTTCTCAATAATCTCATATGGTCCGACGTAACTTGGCGCTAACTTGCCTTTGACTCCAAAACGAGTCTGGCCCTTCATTGGTGTCACTTTCACAAAAACGTGATCACCCACTTCGTACTCTCTGTCCCGTCTTCTGACATTCGCATAACTTTTCTGTCTACTCTGTGCAGTTTTCAATCTTTGCTGTATCAGTTTTATCTTTCCAGTCGTCTCATATACGATCTCGGGCCCAAGCAAAGGCCCATTTCTAACTTCTACCCAGCAAATCGGAGATCTACATTTTCTGCCATACAATGCCTCGAAAGGCGCCATACCAATACTCGAATGGTAGCTGTTGTTGTAGGCGAATTCAACTAATGGCAGATGACTTTCCCAATCTCCCTGAAAATCAAGGACACACATTCTCAGTAAATCCTCCAGAGTTTGAATGGTCCTTTCTGACTGTCCATCTGTCTGAGGATGATAGGCACTACTCAGCCTCAATTCAGTACCCAATGCAGTCTGTAGACTTTGCCAAAACCTCGATGTAAACTTCGAATCCCTGTCAGAAACAATAGACGCAGGCACTCCATGCAGTCTCACAATTTCATCAATATAGATAACAGCCAATTTGTCCGCATTATAGATTGTTTTGACAGGTAAGAAGTGAGCAGATTTAGTCAGTCTATC